GAGCAAGTGTTTTCTTTTGCATCACTTTTTTTACTTGATTTTGTTTATTGGGGGGGGGGGTTGTACTTTCCCCCACCCCCTTCTTAAAAAAATATTAAATTCCCTTTATCTCAATGCAAAAGTTTTCCCATTTTTACCCCTCTGATTCTACCCCTAGTCCTACTTGAGGGAAAGTGAACAAGCAGCTGTGTTGCTCAGCTGCCTATCAGGGTGAAACCTTCTGTGCATTAATACATGAGCTGATGTGGGTTTTTTTTAGAAAGCAAGTAAACTTTAGGTTCTGAGCATAGTTTTTTTAAATTAGATTGTTAACTGTCAATATATTTTATAGTAGATAGCTGCATGTAGTAAAAACCCAACAGAGAACTCACTGCCTCAGGCAAAGGAAACAAAAAAATGCAGTTTGTGGTAATCTGACTGAAAGTGGGCAATGTACAGTACTTCATCCAGAATCCTGGAATCCACTTCCCTACTAGACTGTCAGCTTCTAAGTTTTTTCACCTACAGGTCACATTGCAGATTGCAGAGTATATGTTTTCTACAGACTTTGAGAAAGAGCATGAAGGAACCTAAAGATGTCAGGGGATATGTTAGGTTAGGTTGTTTAGGAAGGGCTTTCATTAGTGGACATTAATTCAGACAGTGCATATTTACATTTGGCTGAAAGCTTTTGTTTGTGCACCTAGACACAATAGGCACTGGAACTTTTTAAATACAAATAAATAAATACATATCATTTTTGTGGATGAAAAGTTAAATCCTAAAGTCCAACTTGGCAGCTGGCCAACTGGTAATCATGCTGAGCCTTCAGAATTATCCCTGACATTTATGAACAAAGCAGGTAGATGAAGCTTGCCAGGCAGAAGCTGGCAAGAAAATGTGCACTGAACAAATATGATACAGGGAAAAAATTCTGAGATGGTGAAGGGAAAGCTGTGATTCCAGGAAATCATTTTCACTGTAGCTTGTAGCAGCGGTAATGAAGAAAAATTCCAGAGATGAAAAGCCTAGAACAACCCCTTAATCTCTTCTGTGCCTGTCCTGTGTGACAAGTCACCCTTTGAAATCAGAAGAGATACAATCCAGAAGAGGAAAGTTTGAGCATAAAGAGATTGGGCAATGCTCGGAGGTAAGATGAAGTCAGAACAAAGAATTCTACTTAAGATGCTGAACTGTGACTCAGAGGAACTAAATTTTCTTCCTGCGTCTTTCCTCCTTTTCCTCTGGCAAGTCAATCTCTCCATATCTTGGTTCCCCAACTGAATAATGAAGCAGTAATATTAAACAGTATGTTTCTTTTCATACTTGAAAGCATTGGTTTGTTTGTTTGTGTGTTTTAAACTAGAATAGTTTTACAGAACTGAGGGAGGGAATTGTAAGACAAATGGTTGAAAGAGCAAATGTGAGGGGGCAAAAAAGGAGTTGTGGCAAAGGCTGAGGGTAGGAATCTCTTACTCTGTATCAATGACATCAGTCAGAACAGTATATACACGCCTAAAAATGGTTTAATCAGAGAAAATGCCTGGTACAATTAGAACCCAAACTAAATAGAGACCTTTATGTACTATTTTTATTGGATAATACTAATAATGAGATGTGAACTGCCTGTAAGGAGGTATTTGTGTCAATGAAGTCTGAATTGTATTACCTCAAATTCATCGGCAACTGCACCTGTGCAAAGCCAGACTGATGTCACCTCATTCTTGTTATCCAGTGCCACAGGGAAAGCTATGAGAAAAACAAATGTTTGGTGGGATCAAAGTTAAAAAGGGTTCCAGAAATATGTCCTGAGACGAGTCACAGAAGATAACTCTGCAATGGGGTCGATAGTTTGTTGCCCTCATTTTTCAACAGATCTTCTCAACTAGCTTCAGCTGCTGTCCTGTATGCATAACACACATGAAATCTGAAGGTGGCTTACACAAAACTTTAGAGGCTTCTGTAGGAGTCAACAGCAGCACTGCAGCTTGCAAATGTATTATACAGTATAAAATCATTGTTTCACGTAACATGTGAATATTTAGTGTAATTCTGCACAGAGAGAAAACAAATCTTTCTCTGGTTTTGATAAACTATTTCAATAGTGATATTTACAGGTGTTAAAAAAATAAGGGGTTTTTTTTATGCTAAACCAGGGATAAAGAACCAGAATGAAGAGAAATCATATAGGCAGCACTGTCCTTTCTACAATTTGCAGTCTTTATGAATGATGCACAAAGGCTCAAAGAATCCTATGATGTTTCTGTCTTTCTCATCTTTATTTTAGGGGTAAAATGGAGAGAAAATTATGTGCTTGGTTATCACAAAAAAAAATAAAAAAAGGAAAGCAAAGTTTTATTTTTAATTCACACATTTTTCATGTTCTGAATATAGCTGTATTGCTGAATTCCTGCAGGGGAAATCTGTATAATTACAGTCAGGTGACACCACCTTCGTGTTGAAGACACCAATATGTGCCAGAAAGTGCTACATGACACTATAAGCAGCAGAAGGGAAGCCAAGCAAGAAGTGACTTGAAACAGGTACCCGAGCATATGTGTTATATGGATCTGTTATATATGTGCATTATACAAACTTTTGCTTCCTTTACAGTTTATTAGAATTTTGGTTAAAACCACACTAAGAGCAGCAATTCTGTGCTTTTAAACAGCAATTTTCTTAATCTGAAAACTTTACATGCAAAGATGATGAAAGCTAGTTTTTCTTACCTGCCTTATTTCATTACTTTTTCTAGCATTCATTCTTTCCAAATGCATTCTTGCAGACAGCTTGAGGTGTACATGCAGCCTCATGAGGGTTCATATGCACACATACTGCTGCAGCTATCCTAACCAGAAGACCACTGTGTCTTAATAAGTTAGTGACCAATAGCACAGCTAACCTGAGACAGTGCAGGCTTGTGCTGTGCTCTACATTCAGCTTGGTACGCGGCCTCTGGTGCGCTGCACACATCCACTGCCTGCAGGGGGAACCCAGCCTGATCATGGTCATGAAGGAGCCTGCTGGCAGCTCCCATGTGGCACCAGTGATTACCACCTGCATGCCCTGTATCTTAAAACACACTTCCATTTTTTCTTTCTCCAGTCTTTCAGAAGACAGAAAGGAATGATGCACACTCTCTAAATATTGGGGGGGTTTAATTTCTTCCTGTAAATTACAGTATATATATTGCATATTGCAGTAAGTGCTGAAGACCTTGACCAAAAGGACCTTTTGTACTAAACACTCTCCCCATGTTCTCAGATGATCCTTCCCTTGAATTGTAGCACTCAATAGGTGCATTAATGGCACCTTGTTTGGGAGTGGAGAGGCAGCGTGGTGAGATCAAATCACTTATTGAGATCATAGAGCCTATAGAAACTGAACCTAGATCTTCAGCAAGTTTAATTAGATGCCTATTGCTCTTCTGTTTAAAGCAATTAGCTTTAAACACAAGACCAATATCTCATTAGAAGTCTCCCTTGCAGGGAGAAAATAAGTTTCTTCATTCACATACTTATGTGACTGAACACTGAGGTGTCATCTTATATGGTGATACCTAATAATCAGCGAACAGAAGTAGGAGTCAAAGAATGCTTGTAATATTTAGCTAGAGATGTAGACTCATCCACTCCCGATGTTTGAGAACGCTGAACCTACAGCTGACTCAGAATCTGATTTCTTTACCTTAACATTGCCTCTAGTATCCCAACAACTCTGAGGGTGTTGGAAAAAACATGCTAAAAAGTTGCAGAATGTGCTGTATTTTCAGAGGTGCTGCACTCCTGCAGCTTCTATTGACTTCCCTGAGGCAGCTCTGCAGAGAAGCAAAACCGCTGTTCCTCTCTGGGCAGAGCTCCAGACAATCTTTGTATAACAGCGCTGACTTCAAAGGAGGCTGAGGATCTGACCATCGAGAAACCGGAGCCAGTACATACAAAATCATTTCACTGCAGGCACCAATGTATTTCTGTACAACTTGCCCTGTCTCCCATAACCTGTCACATTCAGCAAGAAAGGCTCTGGAGGAAAGATGGAAATAGTAAATTAGGCTGCTGAATTATTTGAAAATAATCTTTTCCAAAGGGAATATAGGCTACAGACTTTTAAGAAGACGGGACTTTAGAGCTGACAAGTGTATCTAGCATGTCAATGTGGTAATGAAGTTAGTTCTGCACTGTTTGGAAAACAGCAAATTTCCTTGCAAGTTTTGTGATTAAACATCTAACAGAAAATAATGATTTCCTTGCAGGCACTGAGGCACCAAATAAAAAGACTTAGAGGAAGAGCCTACCAGAGAAAGAACCTACTAAATATCACTAGTGAAAGCCGCTGTTATTGTAGAGTCCTCATACTATTCACTGTTAATTAGAAAAATTCATATCTGTAAAACTGAAGTACCCAGTGGGAGAAAGTATGCTATTTAGTGTGCAGAAATCTTTTTACACACAAAAAATATGGCGCCTATTCTGTAAAAAATAGCAGTTGCAGAGAGGAGAGAAGATACTGACTTGTATGTATGTCTTGCTATTGAGGGGGATCAACAAATTAACTAAATTACAAAGGAGAAAAACTACGTGTTTTGCTGCATATGAATAGAGATTTTCATAATGAACCTGAGTAAGAAGAAGAGAAATGGTTGCTTGCCCGGGGATGGAGTGGGAAAGAAAGAATTTCTGCCCAGAAATTCACATTTGCAGTACTTGTGCCTATACAAAATATGAGATCAAATGGAAATGTATGACTAAATTGATTATAAAGTATTTGGAAGAAATCTGAAAAAAAAATTGGGCTCATTAAAATTACTCTAAAATTATACCCTTAACTTCTGAAGGAAGTTGTTGCTTCTTCCTGTGTCATTTCACTCTTATTTTTCATTGTTTCTTCCCTTCTATTTATTAATTTATATTTTGGTGAGGAGAAATTTGGTGAGCAGACAAAAACAATTCTCTAGTTTTTCTACATATTTATTTTATATTCTGAGAAGACAACAAATAAAAAATGAAACAAATACATGGAAATTCACAGAGCACATGAACAGGATTCCTATAATATCTATTCATAGCCTGGCATGGTACTAGGTACAAATATGGATATCATAACTGAGAATGCTTCACATCCTCCTTCTGTGAGACTACAATGCCAAAATCTACATTGCTTTAATCTTTATTTTCAAATAATGACTTCTAAATTCTCTATTTTTTTAAATGAGGCAGCAGGGTATTCTCCTCTTCGAAAAATAATCTAGACAAAAAAGGATAATCTGATTCAATAGAAAAGATGTGAAAATTTTATTTGTTAGATTTCTCTAGATAAGAGAGCAACTTCTTTTTGAATAAACAAACGTTGATTTATTCACAGTTACTGTGGGTAGGTATTTTTGCCAATCAAACATAACAGGTATATATTGTAGAACAACATCAAGAGGCGTTAAGAGGATGCAACTCAGTCAAAACAAACAGGTCACACACTTAGGCAAGAATAATGAACTGCAGAAAAATAAGGTGAGGAAGAACAAGCTAAATAATTGCATGTCAGAAACAGATTTGGATGTTAAATAGATCATAAGATGAATAGAAGTGAGAAATGTTATGCTGCTGTAAAAAAGGGAAACCCTTATTGCAATTTATAGCCTATGTTATCACCTAAAAAATATTTAGCAATTCTTCAGCTCTCCTTGAAGATGTCTGCCCCAGCTGTGTCCAATTTTGGATACTTCAAGGAAGGTATTGTCCTACTGGGGAAAAAAAGAGAGGAAGATAATAATTATCAGGCTTGCTAAAAGTATACTTGTAAGGAAAAGCTGAAGGAATTAGGATAAATTTAATCTGACATTCCTCTGAACAGCTGAACTTCAGAGAAAAGAAAACTAAGAGGTAAAATAGTAACAACTTTCGAGTACACAAAAAGTAATTTCAATAAGAGGAACAAGCTGTTTTCTGTGTCTGCTGTGCACAGGACAGAGGCATTTTGCTCTCCTGACTCTTTGCTCATCTCTGTTGAAATGCTGTCTGGAAATGGACATGTTAGCAAATAACACTAAATACAGTCTTTTCACTGCTACAATTTTCCTGGTGCATTAAAAATACACTTAAGAAATACAGTTTGGGAAAAGCATGGCAGAACTGGAGAAAATGGAAAAAATCCTCCCATGATTGTAGATGACTCTCCTCCTCTGAAGCAGCTGCTGTGTGAAATTGTTTTCAAAGAACCTTCCCGTCACCTCTGTGCTGAATGAACCTAGAGAAAAACCTTGCACAAGCTTGATTTGAAACGAAATAACTCTCATTTTGGAGTGGACTGTCTGATGAAGATGTAGTTATAAAATAAATAATGATTCAGCTCTAACTTTCAATTTTGTCCTTATTAAGTTGCTCAACCAGGTGTTGAAGCCAATAGAATTTGCTTTTCCTCTGTTGGAAAGCTATTTTGAGTGCAGCGTGACTGAAGAATAGCCACTTAATAGCTGCTCGGCAGTGCTCTTGGCTTTGCTGCTAGAATCCCCCACAATTGCTCGAACAACACTTTTGCCAATACTGATCTAGCTCAATCAGCAGCTATAACACTGGAGTATGAAATTCTGCACTGTTTGTGACGGTGGTAAGTTGCCTGCTGTTTAACATCTCTGTTTCATGGTCTGGTGTCAGGAGGGAGGCATTGCTGATTTTGATCTTCAGTTTGTATTTAATTCTTTCTCTCTTCAATCTATTCAACTGAATTCTCTTGTAGTCTTAGTGCAGTATCCATCCTGACCGAAATTCCTGGGTAATGTTGCTGTGTGCTTTTACGGAGCTGCCACGTTTTATGCAGGAGCTATATTTCCTTCATGATGGGGGATGTAATTCTTCTGCATCCCAACTGGACTGTGAGGATTAATTAAAGTTTGCAATGCACAGTGAATACCTTGTATGCCATTGAAGTGGAAATTATTGTTTATTACAGCCAGTCTGAATGCCATCTGGGATTTCCATGTTCCTATTTCAGCTCAGTTGCACATTATCAAGCTCGATCTGTTACCATGAACAAAAGATTAGCATTCTTGTTCTGTGTTTGGTGCTGGGTCCAGCCCTTGTGTAAATCTGCATACATCCCGAGAAGCTATGTTTAGCACACTAGGGCTCCAAAGGCTTTTCTGTAGCTGGAAGCCTACAACATCCCTCTCTTTTTTCTGCACTTCCACTCTGGTATGTGTTGGATCCACAAAGCAGTAGATCCCTTTGGCCTTCTCCACTGTCACCCTTGCCTGCAAGTCAGCTTTGTGAGACTGTGTAAGGAAGGATGGTGGAACTGGGCTCTGCATTTTGTAAAAGATGCTTTTTCCCATGCAATAGAATTGTACCTTTTTTGTGGTATTTAAAATCCCATGTGGACATGACGAAAAGGGCTGAGATCCAAGCCAGTAATGTAAGTGATGCATAGCCATCCCACAATATTCTTGTATGTTTGCAATACCTACAAAACTTAACCCCAAACCTGTTTTGCTAGTTCACTGTGAGATCCTCTGCAAGGCCAGTGAGTATCTCTGAACTACAAAAACCACAACTATGATTTGTTACTCTGCTTTTACGGACTGGCTTTAGATCAGCTAAGAGTACATTTTAAAACACATTCTTGTGACTTCACTGTCTTTGTAAGTCACAATAAGCAAATGGGGTTAAATAACTGTAGGAACTCGCCCAGTACCATGAGAGATACTCAAAATGGCATAAAATGTAACCACCCAACCTACTTGTGAGCTTTCCCTGGGGAACAGATGAGCTAACAAAGAGTTTAAAGTTTACTTCCTAACTGAAGGATTCTATTATGTATCTTATCTAAATAAACTGGGAGGCTTGACCTTCCTAGGAGTGCACTATTTTCATAGAGGTACAAGTGTAGTCCTCTGACCACACTGCCATTTACATCTTGCTGGTCTGACAGGTTTCAGTTTTAGAGTCAGACCCCAGTGCTGAGTGCTAAATACCTACCAGAAGTTAGATGTCATCCATCTGAGCTTTGTGTTCGCTCACTCCTTCCATAGCATTAGACTCTCCTCCAACTTTCAAGTGTCCCTTCTGGCTTTCAGTACAAGGACAAAATTAATTTGGCAGGAATTCTGCTGTAACTGTTCTTCAGTGAGTACAACATCATGTGCATTACTCTCTTACTCTGCCATGCTGAGACATTATTTTCTGATTTTATGAGGAAAAGCTTAGGTGCCATCTACACTTTCATATTCTGGAGCCAGCCTAGGGAGCAGTGCCTATTTGATAATTTTCAAGCAACCACACGATGTGGACACATATCTGTTTGTCTCTACACACATCCAACCACCCGTCCAGTCATAATCAATTTTTACTTAAAGTCTTTGGAGATATTAAGCTCTTAGAAATTTCATAAAAAGAGTCAAGTGGTTACAGAAAATAAACTCTATTAAGTGTCCCCACCAGGCAAAGGTTTTGGCAAAGGTAAAACTCACCTCTGGCATTTGGGCCAGTATTGGGGAACCAGCATGGAGAGCTGAGAAACATGGATTATCTCCTACACGGCCAACAGCTGAGAGCAAGGAGATGAGGTTATAAAAAATGTGAACAGAAAGCTCCAGGTGAAATTTCAGGGAATATAGGGCTTGTGACAAATCTGAAGGATAGATGAAGAACTGGGAACAATAGAGAAGAGACTGGAAATCAGAATGAAAGAATGATACAGGAAAAATTGACATCTAAATGTTTATTACAAGATAAACACAATTTATTGTCATTACAGCTTCTTTGATTACCTTTCAACCTTTTCTTAATGATGCCCATATGTTGCAAATAAGAAGGTTTTATGACTTCTGTTCTCTCACCTTTCCCATGGCTTACATTCCCACTTTAATTAACACGCTGACATCAGATGCCTCGCCTAATGCTCTTGTCCCAGTACTCCGCCTGTGCTAATCCCTGGGGATCCACTTCCCGTTCCGGTGATGTTCGCCAGGTGGCGATGCCGGCACTGCTGTGCCGTTTCCAGGCCTTAAGGGGGCAGGGGGCCTTGTTTAACAACAAAAACTTGAAAAAATGCTTCAAATGATTTAAAATGGTGAGTAGAAGTATGTTATTGGATTCTATGTGGATTTCCTGAGAACAATAATAAAACAAGAAAGTAAAATATGCAGTGAGGAAGTGGTAGCGCTGTCAGGAAGGGGCAATACTCACTTTAGTCGCTGTGTATCTCTGTATGAGGACAATGAATGTCAAGAATCTATGAATTAATATTTCTTTTTCTGTTGATATAAATTTCATAGGGACAACAACATTTTCTCCTGTCTGATCTCTTTGAAATTATTGTGACTAGATGAGGTCTTGGAGTTAAATCCATGGTGAATAAAACTGTAACTGCTCATGACTTACCCAAAACTAATATGCTTGCTCATGTGGTTATAGATGCAAGAATATCTAGGAAGCTTGTTAACAGTCTTCCCCCTCCAACCTGCCCTCAAAATGTCAAGGCTGTAATGATATAGCAATGTTAAGACTTTCTCCCTTCAGAGAAGGACTTGGAGGTGATGGTGAATGAAAAAGTCAACATTAGCCAGCAATGACCACTCACAGCCCAGAAAGCCAACTGTGTTCTGGAGTGCATCAAAAGCAGTGTGGCCAGCAGGTCAAGGGATTCTCTCCCTCTACTCTGCTCTTGTGAGACCCCACCTGGAGTACTGCCTACAGTTCTGATATCTCCAACATAAGAAGGACATGGAACTGTTGGAGCAAGTCCAGATGAGAGTCACAAAGTTGATAAGGGCACTAGAGCAGCTCCCCTACAAAGACAGGCTGAGAAGGTTGGGGTTGTTCAGCCTGGAGAAGGTTGCATGGAGACCTCATAGCAACTTTCCAGTATTTGAAGGGGGCCTACAGGAACTCTTCATCAGGAACTGTAGTGATAGGACAAGGAGTAATGGGTAAATATTGAAAGACAGGGAATTTAGCTTAGGTATTACAAAAAAATTGTTTACTGTGAGGATGTTGAGGCACTGGAAAAAGTTGCCCTGAGAAGTTGTGGATGCCCTATCCCTGGTGGTGTTAAAGGCCAAGCTGGATAAGTCCTTGAGCAACCTCATCTAGTGTGAGGTGTCGCAGCCCATGGCCAGGGGTTGGGACTAGATGATCTTTAAGGTCCCTTCCTACCCTCAGCGTTCTATGAATCTATGATTCTGTGTAATTATGGAGATAAGCATTGACTTTCTTCCATTACCTCTATGGGGTTTACTGACTGCTTTAACCATGTTAGCTCCAGAAACTTCTATCCTTTAATTCTTGAAACTCTGCTGCACATATATAGAATATAAAGAAATTGAGTTTCCCGAAAGATGCTTCATCTGGATAGCATTTGTTATAAACTACCATAACTGTAGCAGCACTCAAGCTTTGTACAGACAGGGCACATATCGGATTTTTTAAGTGCTGAATGTTCTTAATCACTTTGTTTAAAATTACTTTGCATTGCCACTTCATATCGTGCGCTGTCTCTGCTAAGAAACCTATACAAGAGCCAATGAAAAAAATTTAGTCCCATTAGCTTCTTCTAGGAATCTTAACTCCTTGTCCCTGAAAAAAGCCAAACTTTGTCAAGAGACAAGCTAAAAAAAAAAAGGGGGGGGGGATTTACAGTGCTTTTTAAATAAAAAAAGCTGATGCCTTTTCAGGTTTGGGGTTTTTTTTATTGGTAAGAACAACGGAAGGACAATTTGCTTCTTTAATGGTTTTGCAGGTTGACATGAATTCTGCTTCCAGCAGAGGAAGTGCTGACAGGAGTAAGAGGAACCTTAGAGCTGTTCCCATCAGCTGGTGACTTTCAGCTGGCATCTCCTATGTCCCTTCAATGGCTCCCAATCCAGTACACCCTGTCTTACTCATTTCTCTGAGTATCATGACACAGACTGAGGAAGTTGGGGCTGTTCAGCCTAGAGAAGAGAGGGTTGTGTGAAGACCTCATAGCACCTTTCCAGGGCCTACAGGGAAGCCAGGGAGAGACTCTTCGTCAGGAACTGTAGTGATAGGACACGGAGTAATGGATATAAATTGAAAAGGGGGAAAATCAGCAAAGATATTACGAAGAAATTATTTACTGTGAGGGTGATAAGACTGGAACAGGTTGCCTAAGGAGGTTGCAAATGCCCCAACCCTGGAAGTGTTCAAAGCCAGGCTGGATGGGGCCCTCAGCAACCTGGTGTGGTGGGAGCTGTCCCTGCCCATGGCAGGGGGGTTGGAACTGGATGATCTGTAAGGTCCATTCCAACCCCTTAACATTCTGTGATTCTATGAAGTAAAAAGATGAAGCTGTTCCCACTGAAAGTATAGTGTGGGGGAAAAAAAAAGAAAAAAAAAAGCTGGTGCTATATTTGGAGCATTCCTAATTGCACTGTTCTATTTCTAGCTGCCAAAATCCGTGCTAGAATTTTAATTAAGGGCTAAAATTATGCCGCAGATCCTGACAACAGGAAACAGCCCTAACAACGGGAAACAGTTCTGTTATTTAAACAGGCTTTGGAATAATCAGACTTTATCTCCCGAAGCGGCACTCCAATGAATATTAAAGCTGCTTTTGTTCTCCCGGAGAGGGCTGCGCTTGCTCGGCAAGCTTTGGGAAACCATTGAGGCCAGGCCAGGCAGCGGGTCGTTCCCTTTCACATATGGCTGCCACGGCCGGCAGAGAGCGGGCAGAGAGCGGGCAGAGAGCGCCCCACGGGCCCCACACACCCCCGGCCGCACAGCCGCCCTGCCCGCGGGGCGCCCTGGGCGGCGGGAGCGACGCCTCCGGCACAAGATGGCGGCCTGAGGCGTCTCACCTGCTCCGCCGGCTCCGCAGCGCCCCCTACCGGCCGCGACGCCTCCGCAGCGCCGCGCTCCGCTGCGGCGGCCGCAGCGCGCAACGCCGCATGCGCGGGAGGACTCCCCGCCCCTCCCGGCGCGCGGACAGGCGCGTGCGCAGGAGGGCGCCGCTGCGCTGCCCCCGGGGGCGGGGCGGGCTGGTCAGGTGACGCGCGGCTCGCGCTGACTGACGGGTGGCGCCGGGATCGGGATCGGCACCGGCATCGGGAGCGGCGGCCTGGCGGGGCGGGAGGAGGAAGAGGAGGAAGGGTCTCGGCCCCGACGAGGCGCCATGGCGACCACCGTCAGCACCCAGCGGGGCCCGGTGAGTGCTGCGGGCGCGGGGCCCGCCCGGGGCCGTGTCCCGGTACCGCTCCCCGCGCGGGGCAGGCGAGGCCCGGCTCGGAGCGACCCCGATGGGCTGCGCCGTCCGGCCCTCCCGGCCCGGCCTCTGCTGCGCCGCTCTGCGAGCGAGACTCCGTGTGTCCCGCCTTGCCCCCGCTCCGAGCGGGCGGAGGGGAGACAGGAAAAGTCCTCTCTTCTTCTCTGCCGGGGGGCGAGGGGAGGGAAGTCTGCCTCTCTTCCCGGCTCCCTGCCGGGCGAAGAGGCTTCGGGAGAGGGGAGAGTCCTTCCTCTCTGCGCATGGGGCTTGAGACGGCTGTTCTGCTCGTTCTTTGTCCAGAGGCCTTCCCGAGCAGGGATCAGCTTAAACTAAACCGGACCTAAAGCGCTTTCCCCTGGAAGCGGAGCGCAGCTCCCTGTGCTCGCGGAGCACAGTCGGGCCTCTGTCCCTGGAACCGCCGCCTGAGGGCTGGAACGACGCATCTAGTGTGGGATGTAGGCGTGCGTGTTGGACGGGAGGCGCTGAGCAGTCGTAAAAACAATTTACAGCCTCCTGGGAGATGGTGCTCACAGTTTATTGGGAATATGTTATTGTCTGGTTTTGCCCAGGGATATTCATGCATCATACCGGGATGTTCCGCCGTGTGGGGTACAACATCAGCTCTCGACTGATGTGCTGCTCCTGTCTGTTCTTCCTGTCCAGAAGGATCTGGTAGTAATTGACAGCATGATGTTGCTTTGAAGATGAATTGAGACGTTTTTAGACAATCAGTTTAAACGGCTATGTTTTATTTTGTAGAAACAGCTACTCTTTTGGTACATCTACAGAGCCTCGTAGAAAGACCAGCGAGGTGAATTATGAAATTGCTAATCTTGAAGAACTGCGTTGCTGTCTGTTGTTATCTTGTGACAGTAATATTATATGATCATCGGTTTTAGTTCCTTAAAAAAGTAAATTCATTTTTTTGTTGCTCATCGTAGTATCATTAAAAAACAACTGCTATTCTTGTTGAATCTGTGGTGACTTAGGCAGTTGCTATGCCCAAAGGTTTGACGTGTGTGTGATTCCACCCAAATAGAATTCAGTCAATATGTAACAGATTTCACTCAAGAAAGCTCCAAATAATATAAATTCCTGAAAAATAGTCAGAGTCTGTTTAATAGGAACTTCACTTTTAGTTATCCTTTAGTTTTATGTTTAGAGGGAGTTGGGGATATTGAGGGATTTGGTTACAAACAGAATGGTTTGACTGAAGATGAACAGTAGTCCTGATTTGCAGAGATGTGAAATTGTGCCTATATTTCTATCCCTGAATTGGAGTGGCATTTCTTTGCAGGAGAAGTTTTGCTTGCCTGTGGTGCTAAACACCTTGTTGGCATTGAGTGGAGTACTTTCGATGTCTGCTTGTTTTGGCTTGGTGAAACTTCCTGGACTTTGGCAAGATTTTAGTGAGAACCTTCTTGAACATAGAATCATAGAATCAACCAGGTTGGAAAGGACCTCTGAGATCATCAAGTCCAACCCTTGATCCACTACCACCGTGGTTACTAGACCATGGCACTAAGTGCCACAACTTCTCAAACATCATGTTTGAATATCATAACCACCTAGTCTTTCTTAAATTTTTCAAGGGAGCTGCATCTCAGACATAGAATGTTATTCTTCTAGATGTCTTGTTTTACAGATTCCCAGGTACTCCTGTGTAATCTCTTTACAATCTTTTGTTTCCTAAACCTGATTGAAGCCTGGCAAGTGGAAAGATGTGTGATAATTTATCGTGTGCAGCTTTGGCTTTCTGGATTTCGGGCTTTGGGAATTTTTTTTAATGTGTTCCTAACATTGTTGTGCATGCTTTTCTTCTTTGCCCACTTTAGAGGTTTCAATGTTTTCAAATGAATTAATAAATTATGCAATATTAAGCAGCCATTCACAGCTAACGATATTGATGAGATACATGCCAGCCTTTCTTAATTTTCTCTAGAGAGGAAGATAGATTTCTACTTGTGTCTGTATATGCGACTGCATTACAAATGAATGGCCACTAAATGGTGCTAAAGGATTGGGAAGCATTTTTTTGTTTAGTGCTGGAGAGAACAGTTCTGTCTTTCACGCACTATAGCTGAATATATAAGGGCTGCTAAGTTATACCTTTTACAAATGGGAGTATTAATAAGCAGTTTGATCAGGCTTGACGTTAAGACTGAGCCACCAAAAACCTTGTATTTCTGATTCCTTGGTTAGCCATCATATCCAAAATTACTCAGTATTCGCTGTGCTGACAGATATGTCAGGTCCTTCAAAACTAGATCAAATACCAAGCTAGGACTACATAGATTTCTTCTCCTAATTTCCTTAATAATCACTACTCTGATGAGTTTTGTCTTGAGACTCTTCAAAACTTTGATGTCTTTTTCTACAGGCCCTGGTCAAAAGTCCCTCTCCAGCTTTCTTGTAGGCCCCTTTAGGAACTGGAAGGTGCTCTGCGGTCCTCCTGGAGCCTTCTCTTCTCCAGGAATAGGTGTAGATGTCATATGGACACTCATTTTATCTTTAATTTTTAACTCATGTTTGTATACCATAGTTACCCCTGTTTATTTCACGTAAAGTCTCCTCCATTTCAGTTTGACAGCTGAGATCTCCTTTCTTGTGTTGCATCTCAGAAGAGAGCCTGGCTCTGTTTTCTCAATGACCTCCTCGTAGATACTGGAAAGCTGCTACAAGGTGCATTTTAAGTTTCTCCTGCTCTGTACAAATCTTCAGCCTGACCTCACAAGTTTTGTGCTCCAGCCCTTTTCATAGGCCGTCTTGGTGGGTCTTTGCTGGGCTTCCTCAAGCTCAATACTGCTGGGTCCCAAACAGGTTGCAGTATTCCAGATGTGGTCTAACGAGTGCTAAATAAAGGGAAACCATTGCTTTCCTCAGCCCACTGGCTGGGCTCTTGTTGATGCAGTGGAGTCTGCTGTTAGGCTTCATGCTGCGAAAGTGCTCTGCTCATCGATGTTTAGCTTGCTCTTCACCTCTGTAGAGGTATAGCCCTGCCAGTTGTTTCCCAGTCTGTATTGGTGCCAGGGATTTTTCTGTCCAAAGTACAGGACTTTGCCCATGTTGAGTTTCATAGGATTCCTGCCAGCAAATTCCTCTCTCTCTAGTTGGTCCTGTCCTCAAATATTTTTCCCCAAATTTGGTGTCCTCCTCAAAACTGGTAAGATACGTAAGTTAGTGTCAGTACAGACCTTTGAAAAATTTCACCTTTAACCAACCTCCAGTGTCATTCACCACTGAACTTTAACTTTGATCTCAGTGCCTCAGCCAGTTTTTCATCAATGCAACCCATTTGGATTGTAATGACCCAGCTTTGATACTTTTCTGCTCTCTCCTTATTCACATATTCCAGTAATTTTATTGTAAAAGGCAGATGGCTCATTAGGCTTTTTTTGTTTTAAAGCATTGTTAAAGGCTGGCTATTCCTAGTCCCTGGTGGTTTTTTTTTCTTTGTGTGTCAAGAAATGTCTTCCAGAAGGACTTGCACTATAAAATTTTTAGTGACTGAAGTGAAGCTGACCTGCCTGTGGTTCCTCAGGTCATCCTTCTTACCCTTTTGAAAGCTGGGTATGAGATTTGTCTTTCTGCAGCTATAGGGCCCTTCCTCTAATCTCTGTGACCTTTCAAAGATGTTAGAGAGCAGCCTTGAACAAATATCAGCTCTTTCAGGACCTCTGGATGCATCTTATCTGGTACCAATTTTTTATTTAGTGTGCAAAGCATAGAATAGTAGTTCAAAATTCTGTCTCATTCACTTCTTCTTTCTTAAAGACAGTAAAACCATTTAAAGGAGAATGGTTAGAACTGTTTTGAGCAGTTAGGTGTTCAAAGCTCTGTGATGTTTCAAAGAATTTTCATGTTAGATTTCCTTGGTAGTTGCTGGTGTGGAAACCTTAGTTATGTTTCCCTGAATGGATTGTGTCCGGGCAAATGGTTCTGTAAGTTGGGGCATTTGTGGTTGTCCCTGGCACTGCGTTCCCTTTCCCTCCTGTCTGTAGGTACCACTTGTGTGATCAGTTACTGCATTCAGGGTTCTGATGACTTCCCTCCACTTCCCTTTACTTCCAACCTTGTTTCACTTTCTTCTGATCATCCCTCTGCACTAACATACTTTGCAACTATTTGCCCCATTTAGTGTTGTACAAGAAACA